GATTTGTTATTTAATTATATTTATAAAAATGTTACATGTTTTGATTTGATGGTTTGGCACCCTGACTTGGGTGGAAGGTTCACGGTTAAGTCAGCATATAGTTTGATTTGCCAGAAAGAAAAACAACTCAAAGATGAACCAGAACGAGGTAACAATAAGAAGTTGATGAAGAATATGTGGAAAAGGATGTGTGGACTCAAAGTGAAGAACAAGCTGAAACATTTTATATGAAAGTCTCTAAAGAATATCTTACCAACAACTGTAAATTTTTTGAAGAGAAGAACAAAAGCTAAAAACACCTGTAAATGTTGTGGGGAGGCTGCTGAAAGCTTGGAACATTTATTCTTTGAACGTGTCAGAATGAAGATGGTGTGGAGACTGGCCCCAGCAAATTGAGGAAGGGAAAAAAAACAGGGAAGTCAACTTCTTAGATTGGTGGCTAGCAATTTCGACAAGAAAGTGTACATGTTTTTTGGCTCAAAGGAATCAAGTTACAATTTATTTGCTCTAATGGACCTGAAAGGCAAGAAATAAGTGGAGTTTTGCAAACAAGTGGCTTTCACCTAAGGAAATTGTGTATGTGCTATGACGTAATGGATAGAATTTTCTGATTGTTCAAGGCTTTGAAGAGGTTTTTGGGGTGTTTCTGTTTTTAAAGTTGTGGTTTTGTTTATGTTTTTGGTGGATTGATAGATTTCTAGGGACCTTGTTTGGCTTCCAATAAATAATCTATTCAAGCTTGTTTTGTGTTACTCCTTCAACCAAAGCAGATCGGGAAAGAAAGCTAAACTTATTTGTATTTTCTATTTATTTTTTACATGCTTGTCTTTTGGTGTAGTATTTGAAGGCTTCATTACTTCGTTTTGGTGTTGGTTTGTAGGTTTTGGAGTGCTTAGTTGTTATCTTTGCTGAGTTAGTGTTGGTTCTATCTCCAGTGGCCTTGGTATTACGTAAACCCAAGGAGTTGATTCCCTCTTGTGAGATTTTGACTTTGTGTGTACTCTTTTTTCTCCTTTGCTAAGTTGGGAATAAAAAGAATTATCGTTTCAACAAAGAAAAGTGAAATAGAATTTGGCACCTCTTGCACAAAAAATGAGTATGATACCACTAGACCACGAGACCAGTTTATTAATTATTTTATAGATTATGTATATAATTCAGTCGGTTCGATTATTTCGAACATTTGAATTTGCAAAACCGACACTGACCGAAGTAACCGAACTTTTAAAAGTTGAAAACCGAAAACCAACTTACTAATGTAAAAAACTAAACCGAAATTTCTATTTCGGTCGGTTTCAATCGATTTTTCAATTTTGGTTGAACTTTAACACCGTTGTTCTTGTATGTTCTAAGACAATCATTCCTACGAGTTTCAAATTCTCTTTTTCTTCAAACCTTTTTCATCTCCATGGTTCGTTGTACTAAAAATCGGCCTAGGTGACCGCCTCCAATTTGCATAAATCGGTTGAAAAAATCGACCAGGTGGGTCTAAGCGCTCCTAGGCATGCTTTGCGGGCTCGGCAGCCAGGCGGCTAGATGGTGTAATGCGAATGGAGGTTCCGACGTCTATGGACGCCAAGGGTCGAGAGGGGATGTGATTGGGCGGGGCTGCATGAAGGTGCGAAAGAATGCGCGCATGGCCAAAAAGATGAGTGTGAGCTCAAATACGAGGTACGCAAGCACGGGAAGGCCACGCGAGCCATAGACACACGCGAGGAAAGGTCGCGCGAGGTGAGCTCGTGCGGAGCACGCGAAGATGGGGTGCACGCTTGAGGATCATGCATGATGCGCACTGCAACGTGAGGTTCAAACACGCACGCGGGGTGACTTGATGGGCAAGACGAACGAAGCTTCTAGAAAACCAAAGTTTGTAGAAGATATTTAGTCTTAGATTATAATTATTAGTTTTGTTTATTTAATATGTTAGTCTAGTTAATTATTAGATGTTAGTATATATTAGATTATATTACGTAAGTTGGTGGTTATTATTTGTTAGGAGTTAGTTTAGTAGGTAGGAAATCGTTAAGCGTGAGTTAGTATATTTATGGAAATAAATCATACGGGAATTTTTTAATTTATAAATGTTGAACTTAAAATTGAATCTGAATTTATGGAAAACAACACTACGAGAATAGATTTTGGCTTTTAAATATTGTAAATTCAAATATAACTTTATCAACCCAAAGCGTAATTCAAAATTTGTTGCAATTAAAAAAAATCAGATTTAATAGATAATATATTTGATTTTATGGTTACCTAATGATAAGTAATTTTATAATTTAAATTTAAAATTCGAAATGATACATGTTGTATGCAATCAGATCTTTTCGAATAAATAATGATAAGAAAATTTGAATTCTACAAAATCGTGAAATTTAGCCCAAAATTACCTAAAAATTTCATCAATTTAGGGTACATTTAGAGCTGATCGAATTTTTTGGCAATAAATTAAATAAAAAGCACTGTTGAAAATAGAATTTAATAAATGCTGCTTGACTTTTTTTGTTACTATTTTTGGTATATAGGTTGTCTCTTACATATATATAAGAGATATTTATATATTTATATATATAAGTATATTTATATATTTTCGGAGGATAGATATTATAGGTTGTTACTATTTCTAGTATAGATATTTATAGATTTTTATATATTTATATATTTATATATTATAGGTTGTTNATTTTTACTATTTTTTGTTACGAGGATAGATATTTATATATATATATATATAAGATATTTGAATAACGAGGATAGATATTTAGTTTCCATTAGATTAGTATTTAATTTCTATTAAAACTAGTATAGGCTTAGTCTTATTTTCCTATGACTAGGGTTCTGTATTCATCATTATTTCTTAAGCAATGAGTTAATGAAAACTTGGGTAAAAAATCTCTTCGTGTTATAATTCTTTTAGAGTTTTATCACAAAATTCTTATGTCGAGAAGGGTGTTTCACCTCATAGTTCGTCATAAGTTCGAGTTTGGCAAGGAGTCGCGTTCGAGCTGTCTCAAGCTATCGCCGAGAAGGAGGCGGTATTTGTATCATTTGAAGCAGCTATCGCCGAAAAGGGAGTGTCATAGCATCCTTTGAAGCAAATCCAAGTTTCGAGATACACGATCTTCATCATGGTGCTTAGGCAGGCCTAGGCGGACTTAGGCGCTCCTAGACGGGCTCGGCGACAATTAATATTTTTTTTAAATACTAATTACATTATTTTGTTATCATGTTCTATTTATAACATAGTAATATTATTATTTGGACTTAACTGTGTTGATTTATTATAAGTTGAAATACTGTTATTTAGTAGGTATCATAGTTTTTTAACCCGCACCGACCCGGCAGGTCGACCCGGAGCCGAAATCGGAACCGGTCTGGGTGGGCTATTCGGACCGGATAACAATAGACCCGATCAAACCAAGTCAAAACCCGGTCAAACCGGCCTTGACCCGGTTGACTCGGAGCTTTGGCCCAATCGAGTCAACCCGGTTGACCCGATCCCTATATTTATTGTTTTTATTTTTATTAAAAAAAATAAAAACTATGAATATATCTTTATATGGTGAATATTTATTATCAGATATAATATTATTAACACTTTGATGTGCAAATTTTATATACAAAACGTTTAATTTTGTTACTTTTATTTATATTTATATTCCAAGAATACTATATATTAATAATTTTAAAAATTTTTAAATTAATTATTTTAGTTCTACAATTGGCCCGGTGACCCGGCTATTGAATCGATGACCCGGTGACCTAGAGATCTGCCTGAGTTGATTCTCGGGCCGAGTTTAAAAACTATGTAAATAAGAAAAATAAATAAAATATAAATTATTTAATCTTGATTTAAATATTTCTAAGCCTGTCTAGTCGCTTTAGGGGGTGATTGTTTATGAGTTCATCTAAATTTTTTTTAACTATAGTTAATTTTAAAAAAAGTTGGTATGATTAGTTGTCAGTGTATATTAAAATAATATTTGAAATAAAATAATTAAAGTTGATATGATGTAAAAGTAAGAGAAAAATAATTGGAAGTGGTGGTTAGAATGATTGGTTGATATTATTTAATTATATTGATAATATTGGAGATAGTAGAGTTGAGTTAAAATTGAGTTAAATTTGAGTTTTGATTAATTTTTTTTGTATGGGTATTGATAATAGGGGTGTTCACGGTCCGGATTGGTCCGGTTTTAGCCCAAACCGTGACCAAACCGGACCTAACGGTTAATTTTTTTTCTTGTCCATAACCGGACCGGTATTATTTTTTAACCGACCACAATCCGGACCGCATTGGACGGTCCGGTTTGACGGTTAACCGGTTAAATCCAATAGCCAATGATCAATGGAGAATCTGGAAATTCAATACACAATCTTTTTTTTTTTTTTTTCATGGGTCGGCAGGGGATAAATAAGAATTAAAATATATATATATATATAAAAACAAAATAAAAAAATAATAACTGTTATTGAGTATAAAAATGGAAATCAATATTCAAGTTTTACTTAATAATAAAATATTAAATTAGTGTAACAACTATTTTAAAGAGGTGGGAACGGTTAAGAAATCAGTTAAATATTTTTTTTGCCATGTGTAAAAAGGCGTAGTAGTGTAAACCAAAAGTCTAGTTTTGGCTAAATAATATACTGGTTGATTAATGTAAATAGTTTTTTATATTAAATAAGGGATGTCCTTATTTCCAAGTTCTTGGAGCCCAATATTAATTTGGCCTAATTGTACCATCTCCATATATATATATGTGTGTATATATATTTTTTTATAATTTTTTAATATATACCGGTCCGATCCGGTTAAACCGGCGGTTTGCCGCAGTTAATCCGTTAACTGGACCGGTGATTCCGGATTTTTAAAAAAATTAACCACCGGATTTTTTAATGCTTTTTTAACTGACCATTTAACCGATCCGAGGTCCGGATTGACGGTTTTTTCCGGTTAAAACCGGACCGTGAACACCCCTAATTGATAAACAATCACCCAAAGCTCTACTTTTAGAAGTGAGGCACACATTTTACCATTTCTTTCTTTCTTTTCTCACACTAACCTTCAAGCTCACAAAACGCATACATACAGAACCTTTTCGGTGAAAATAGACACTAGTTTCTGTGTTTTCAAGGAGTACAACTACAGATATGCAAAGCCCAGTTGACCCATCATCTGTTCCAAAGCTTGTGCTCTACTCTTACTGGGAGAGCTCGTGTTCATGGCGCGTGCGCTTTGCTTTAAATCTTAAAGGTTCCACCTTTTCCCCTGCCCTTCTCTGTTTGGCTTCAACTAATCTTTAGCCCTCAAATCTCTCTTACTTCCGCTGCCAAGATTTCTTTTTTGTTGTTTAGTTTGTTTTTTCCTGTAAGAGATCAGTGAGCTGTGCACTTTATTGTGTTCAACTAATTCATATGTTTTCTTAAGGGTCTGTTTGTTTCAACGAGGATGAAGCCGTGAAGGGAGGGAAGGGGTTTTAATAAAAGGAAGGGAAAGTGAGAGGAAGGAAAGTTAAATGATTTTATTTTGGTTGGTTGAGTGGTATTGAAAAGATGGGCAAAGAAAATGGCAACTCTTGTTTGTCTGAGTGGCAATTAAAGAATAATGCTTTCAGTCTTGAGGGTTTATACATGTACTGAGCTATATGCTCTTTGGTTCTTATTGGATAAATGATTTTATTTTTTTTCCTCTTCTCAGGTCTTATTTACGAATACCGTGCTGTTAATCTTGCAAAAGGAGAGCAGTTCACTCCAGGTTCATTTAAGACTGCACTGCTGCAGATTGTGGATTGGAATTGGCCACTAATTCTTACATTAGTATATTTTTCTGTTTTGATCTATATGGATATTTGGTGCAGAGCTGTTTTTGAAGTAATTGACATATATTACCTACTTTTGTTGTGGGAAACAAACAATTCAAAAAGCCTCCACCATTTTGTTTTGCTTGGAAAATGTCCAGAGTTAGGTAGCAATGATTTCAAGCACGTTTCTCTATGTTAGGTCAAGTGACTATATTGATATGCTGAATTGGGAAGATGGACTAATTGTGATTCCTTCAATTGAGTATTTAAAGATGGAAATAGTATTTCATCTCTTGTCAAGGTAAAGATGTTGATCTTTGGTCCATGTTTTGATCTGTGGCGAAAAAGGCCACGACATTTTCCTGTGAATTTTCAAAGAATAACTTTTCGTACAACCCGTTTTGGTTCCAACATTAGTTAGCTGCTATTCTTTTTTCTGTTTTCTTGTTAAAATGTTAAAACATCTTCCTACTCGCATTACATAGTTATTCATTCGCTAAAATAGCTATGGATTGGTTCTGAAGCTGAAGCACATAGCTATTTACCGGTTTTCTTTAGGTGTTATGAATTATGCTCATAAGCCATATTCTATACTTACGTGCTTTATGAGGTCATCATGATATGGAGGTCTTGTAGAATTTGCATTTGGCTTGCAGAATTTGAAAAACTAAATCCACTTCATTATGTACCTGTCTTGGTGGATGGAGATGTCATTGTTTCAGACTCGTATGCTATTTTACTGGTAATTTTAACTTTTTTCAAGTATAGTTGAAAAATTAATTTTACTGGTAATTTAATCTTTTTTCAAGTATAGTTGAAAAATTATCTCGATTTTATATAATTATATCTGAGAGCGTAAATAAAAATGAACTCCCTTTGTTTTTATTTTTCTCTTTTTTTTTTTTTCTACTTCTCT